CAAATTGCATAGCTTTCACGCAAGACAAAAGAACTCAACCAAACTTCAATGAAATAAAAATTCACGACCCAAATTGTAAAATAAATAATTGTTCATGTAACATCATCAATAAAACAGAACATACGAAATACTTAGGATTATTTATTGACCAACATCTAAAATGGGACACACACATAAGTACCTTAATTATGAAATTACGAAAATTATACAACACCTTTATATAAATGCAAGAAAATTTCTAAATATACAAACACTTCGTTTGATATATTTTTCCATGACACAATCAATCCTTCAATATGGTATAACTGCATGGGGTGGATTATATATCGTTGCTAGTAGGTAATAAAATACTGAGAGCCCAAAAAAGTATAATAAAAATGATACTAAAAAAACCTAAAACATATCCGACTATACAACTATACAAGGAATTTAATGTTTACACTGTGCAAAAATTATTTCAAAGAAATTCCCTCTATTTCATATATAAAATTAATTTAATTAATTTAAAACCAACATTCTACAATACACGGCAAGAGAATAACATAGAGATCCCTTTTACCCGGTCGATTAAATCAAGCCTATGTTTTTCACAGGTAGGTCTTAAGCTACTGAATAAAGCACCATCGCATATCATAAATAGCAAATCCTATGAAAAATACAAAAAAAAAGTTAAAATTTGGCTAAACCATAGCCAAACATCTGAGTTATAGTGTTCAGTGTTAATATAAAATATATGATGTGAACCTGATAAAATGTAATATATTATATAGCAACCGATTAATTAATTTAATTTTTTTTAATTTTTTTTATTTTATTTTTATTATTCTTATTTTGTCTTTTAATGTTTCCATTTTTAATTTTAAATTTGTAATGTTTATTATATTTTTGTCTTTCAATGTTTCCATTTTTAATTTTAATGTTTATACTACTTTAATTACTTAGGTTTTTTATTAGTAGGTACTCCAATTTCACCAATAAGAGGTTTTTTCCTCAGTGGTGTGTTGGGCCATTATAATCCATATTCTTTTATTATAACTACTGTACTGTGATCATTTTATGGCCAATAAATAAATTATTATTATTATTAATTAATCACCTGTGCGAGGATTATCGTTTATGATGTTTTTTTATAAAAGAGTGTTGCATCAATATTTCAATATCATCTTCATGACCTGATAAATCTGATGCATCACACTCCCTTGATTTAGGTTTATAATCCTTATCAAGATCTGAATCATCTACATCTGACATGTCTGTAGATCATAATACTAATTAAAATAATTTCACTTAATTTGTTACCCACAGTTAAAATGTTAAAATGTGTATTTCTGAATTAGTTATAGATACTTTACCTGAATCATCTGATGATGTTTGTTTTTTTTTTGCTTGATAAAATGACTTGATTCATTATATTTGGTGGCTGTTAATTAAATAGAATATTAAAGTAAATATCATATTTTTTATTACTTGGAATATCATTAGTTGGAATATTTACCTGGTGAAGAACGCTTTGAAGAACTGGTCATTTCGACCATTTGAATAGTTCTTCTTTCCTTAATTGGTTTTTTACAAAATAAAAATTAAGTGTAAATTTTAAAAATAAAAACATGGCTATACTGTTAAAAAGTTTGATAAACACCGGCATTTTTACATAAGTTATACAACAATACCGTGGTTACTGGTTAATAATATGAACATTTTCAAAACATATTATTATTAAGTTATTTAAAAACAGACTATAATATGATAATATTATCTATACTATTTTTGTACAATTTGTGATAATAGTAATTATAGTTTTTGTTATTATTATGAGCATTTTGGATATCACTAATAATGATTTTGTACTAAACATTTTATTCTTGACTTATGCTATTTATAGACATATGATAATCATGCTATAAAAGGCATAAGTCATAATAAGCCTATTATTATAATACCTGTACAATAAATTGATACAAAAGGCATAAGTCATATTAAGTATTTTATATCGGTACAATAAAGTGTTACAAAAGGCATAAGTCATGTTATGCCCTTTCTACCAAACTTAAAGTCGAAAAACTCCACATACGCCATATTTATTTCTTCAGTAATTTTAGTAACAATCGTCATTGACGTATGCCAATTGGACCAAAAAGTGTTAGTAAAGGGGTAAAGTTGCGCTTTTTGGGTTTTTCGGTTATATCTCGAAAACGGTGCATCGGAAGAATTTTTTTTTTTAAATAACAAAATAAAGCTCATGAAATTATCTAAAACTTTTATATCGTATGTTTTTTTCGAATTCACAACCGTTTTCGAGCTACACCTTCGAAAAAAGTAGAATATTACAAAAAAAAACCATTTTACCTCACTATATTCATAAAACAATTTATCATATTGTCTACCATATTCGTTTTTTTAATTTTTTACTTTGCCACCCCTCTCCTTGGATGACCCTCCCTCAAAAAACATCAAGATTAGGGCCTTTGTGTTTATTAAAAAATTAATATATGCATAAATTGAGTTTTAATTTTTTTTCAATTTATTCTTGCAATATACAACATATTATATTACATATTTTACTTATATAAATTTAAACTACATCACCATTTGTTCATAAAATCATCATTTCCATCCAACTTCTAAAAATATTAATAGCGATTATAAACTTAATGATGAAACTTGTGTAATGAACTTGTCATTCCGTTACCCGTATGTCTATATAATATTATATGCTTGCTAGGGCACCGCTAATCGCTAATTTAGGTTCTAATAAAAACTTGATAATTTCATAATTTCAGTTTATCATTTATTAAAACTTTTTTAGAATATTAAATATCAATAAGACCAAACAAAATAAGAATAAATAGAATTATTAATATCATAAAGTTAAAAATATTTTCATGGTCAATTGTCGTCTGCGCTACATTTATAATATTTTTTTATTTATTTTTTTTAAATGTTTCATGTAAAATTTAAAAATTTAAAAATTTACCATTTGATATTTTAAAAATCAAAATAGCCATTTGTTGATATTAAATATGTTCGCTAAAAAAAAAAAAGGAAAATGTTCAACCATTTATTTTCTACGATTTTTTAAGTTTAGAAGAATATGAATAAAATGCATTGTTTGCGTAGGCTCCAGAAAATCGAATAAAATTGTGCAAACTTAAAAAAAAAAATTAATAAATAAGATAATAAAAATATTATGAATGTAGCACACACGACAATTGAAGGGAGGAAATGCAAAAGGCGGTATTGCCAAAATTCCATTTCCATTTCCACCTATTTAAAAAAAAGTCGAAAATATTCAATAGAACAAAAGTTATTGTAATTGTCAGTTCATCGTGCAACACCTTGTATATATATATTGTTTACAGATACTACAATGAGTACTAAATGTCCTGTGTGTCTTAATGACGTCGTTAGGGGAAGTAAAGATGTCTGTGATGTCAAAGAAAAGGGTATACTGGGCCTTGTTAAAGCAAGTAAGGAACGGAAAGACGATAAGCACGAAAGTTTCCGTGGTTTCACATCCTTTTTAGTTCACACAATCTGTCGTAAAAATTACACCCGGACTGACACAATAAAAAAATATGTTAGGGAGGCATCCACGTCCAAGGAAGAGACAGTGATCAGCTATGGAGCTGTGTTAGGGTGGTGTGTTACATGAGGGCGGATAATTTAGGTGACGAAGTTCTTGGTCAACTTTCCTCGATTAACAATCTTGTTGCTGAGGAGTCAGTATACCACAAAGACTGCTACATTATTTTTTTGAAGCCCACTAGCTTACAAAATCCAAAAATTGAGATCCCTAGAGACAGCCATGTTACAAAGGCTATGGAAGAGATTTGCATCTACTTGGAGGGAAGCAGCGATTGTCAGTTTTCCAAAGATGAAATACTGGGTATCATATCAGAGACCAAACCCCAGTGGCGGACAATCAAGGCTGAGTCGGAGAGGAAATATGGAGATCGGATATCAATCACTCCAGGTGTCAACAGATTTAGTGTGCCAGTGGTATGTTTAAGAGATAGTGAGAACAAAATTATCAATGAAGCGTTTTACGGAAACAGGGCCAAAAATGAAGAAGAAGTTATTAGAAGAAGTATTCAGAGTCAAGTGTACAGCACAGACACGTACCCTCCCAACGACGACTTTTTGAAGAATCCAGGTACAATGCCGCAATCCTTGAATTTTTTCCTTGAGGGTCTTCTATTGGCGAAGACAAAACGAATAGAAGAAACAAAGAGAAACTGTGCTTCACTGGGAAATGCCATTATTGGGATTGTCAGACCTAGAACCTTTGTATCACCTCTATTGTGCAGCCTATCATTGCTCATATACAAAAATTATTCTTCAAGACATTTAATTGATCTACTTGCAAATTTGGGCTTCTGTGCATCGTATCACGAAGCACAAAAGTTAGAAATGTCAGCAATAGACAATGTGAAACCTGGTTATATTGTAAAGAAATTTGGTTTCAATCAATTTGTTTTTGACAACGTTGATTTCAACGTATGTACTATTGATGGGCTCATCACTCTTCATGCTATGGGTGGAATCAGGTGCATTACTCCCTCAAATTCTTTTGAAAAAGGTGCAGACATACCAAGATTGAAGAACATGCCCTTATCATAGGATATTGGAAAACTAGGCATTATTCCACTGAAAACATTCCAGAAGAGAGCTAGTCTGGAAAGTGTAGTGGTCAGACGGATTAACGTACCTGAAGAAATGGTTCACCCTTAACCATTTAATGTTCTCTGGTTTGTTGTAAAAAAACTAAACATCTCGCTGCCAGAATGGAAAGGGTACATGACGACCATAACAACAGGTGATTTCAGTGAAAAAACAAGAGTTATATCCCTCCCCTTCATCAATGCACCACCATCAATTTACGACACGGTCTATACAGCCTTGCAATATGCTAGCTTGACCAGCCACTATACTGGATACCATACATCCATGCGTCTGGACACTTCCCCTACGTAAAGTCCTTCCAGTTGTATATTCAAGATATGGAGAAACTACCATTAACGATGACTAATGAAGAATATCAGAAGTTTGCAACCAGCGGCTATTTTGCTATGCGACGCTCTGATCGCTTTTGGTCAGGCGTGTGGTCAGATATGACAATTGAAACCACATTGATGCGATCACTCAAAAGCCCTCGCATAACTGGAGGCAGAGGTGTTTTGCACAGCGTACTCACCAAGTGGTTAGTTGGTATGAGTGCAACTCATGAGGTATGCACTTCGCTTGAAGAGTTTGCTGTAGTCATATTCACGTCAAGTGAACAACACAAGGACCTTGGACAAGCCCGCAGAAGTAGAGATACAGCAGACATTGTCAGACAAACCTGATTGCAAACTTAATCAGTGGTTTGATTCTCATCCTCCATTCCCAGAAACCTCTCAAATCATGTCCATTTCGAGTGGAGTTGTCGGAGATGCCACAATAACATGTTATGATGCTGTTCGAGTTGGTAAAAGGGCTATGAATTCAATAGTTAACATGACATTCGCAGACATAAAGTTATCCCTCAAAGATTGTGCATTCCCAATATCTTCTGTCAGCTCGTCGATAAAAGTTCACGATGAAAAGGTAGTAGTTGACCCAGCATTGCTCTTTCAGCGGATATGTATAAGCAAACGATCAGATGAGGATTTGATGAAATATTTTGAGTATGAGTTGGCCCCATTTCCCTTGGTACTGTTCAACGAAAGTGGCATACGAAAGACAAATAAATCAGTGCTGTACAACTTGTTTGAGCCAACCAAGAAAGATATTTGTCTGTCTCAAATGAACATTGTAGTGGATGGAGAATTTCTACTACACAGAGTTATTTGGCAAAACGATGCATCTTTTGAGGCTATTTGTAATAGTTATATCACCTACATCAACCACCATTATCCTGGAACTACTCGCACTGTGGTGTGTGATGGGTACGAAAAAACAGCCAATAGTACTAAATCTCAAGAACAAATGAGACGTTACAGACTGAGAAGGTCAGCCGGTATAAATTTGACATAGGACAAACCAATACCTGTGAAACAGGAAGACTTTTTGTCCAATCCCACCAACAAAACTAATTTCATCTCATTACTAGAGACAAAGCTGCAGGAGAAAGGGATACATACTCTTCAAGCTACCGATGATGCTGACGTCCTAATCGTGAAGACTGCTGTTGAACAATCGACTCACGATTCTGGGGCTGTCGTTGGTGAGGATGTAGACCTTGCTATCCTGTTGATTGCTTCCACTCCTCTAACTCGAGATATCATAATGCTGAAACCCGGACGAGGGGAAACTAAAACAATCGCACTGTCCACCCAAGAGATGCAGAACCGTGGATTTGAATACATCCTGTTCCTTCATTAATTTACTGGATGCGACACAACTTCTGCTAC